TTATGGACCGTCGACAGTTAGAAAAATGAATTTTACTAAGGCTGATATTTTGCAAATTATAAAAATTCTAATTTCTGATTATAAAAAAATATATAATTCAGAAAATATAGCAAAAAGAAGGCGCACGAATTAAAATTTAGGAATCGCAAATTTCAAAAATCACAATTCCAAGATTTTCCAGAATTTTTAAGCTAATAATTTCAATTAATTTAACTCTTCACAAATCAGGAAAAACAATTTTTAAACATAATCATAACATAAAAATGATACAAAAAAAGTTTTAAAAATTACAATCCAAAATTCAATTATTTAAATTTTTATATACTACCTTTTTATTCTTCCGATAACTTTTTTATTTTTGAAAATTCAAACTTTCGAATATAGAAAAAATATCAAGAAAATATAATCAACAAAGAAATGACATATGATATAAAATTCCACAAATTACAATCTAAAAAATTTTTAAAGTTTAAAAGCTCAAATATGTAAAAAATTGAATTTTTGAGAGACATTAAAAAAGAACTAAAATCTTTATAAGAAAACTATTAGATAGATATACTATATTTCACGTCTTTCAATTTTAACAGAAATTTTATATAAACTTTTTAAAGCATACAGTATAATTAAGATGTGGATATAAAATATATGTAAGTTTAAGTTACTAGATAAAGAATAGTGATATTCTTATGCCGAGAGCATATTTTTTATCTAATAACTTTGATTTTAATAGCCAAATTGCACTAGATTTAAAATTATTATTTCTAAAATTATCTTTAAACTTATTTTATTTCCTTCTTAAGGCTACGTTTTCTAGATTTTTTGGTCTTATTTTCTTTCCTTGTCTTTACAATTTTCTTCGTTCAATTAATTTCCTTTCCCTTCTTCCCACAATAATTGATTCATTTTTATACTTTTTCTTTCCTCGAGAATATAATTTGTTACTAATTGTCTAAAAAATTGCAACTTTATTTTGCCATATTCTAGATATATTTTCTTATTCATACTAAATTAATTAGAGTTTTTTTTTTATTTCTGAATCTCGCAATAATTTTTGAAAATTTTTTTGATCTTGTTTTCTAAAATATTCGGGTTATTAAATAATGTCGTAAATAATTTTCTATATCTAATTTTATATCTGGAATTCTGAATCTTATTATGTTGCGTCTGTTTTTGAGTCTCTACATCTTTTTCAGATAACTTATATACCCATCTCAATCCCTTTCTTTCTTAATCTTTTTACTTCTATCTCAGACATTCCGTTACGAAAATATATTTCTCTCTATCTGTTTTTCATCTATTTTTCTCTGTTTTCCTAAAATTCCATTAGTGTGTTATTATTCGATTTAAATTTAATTTTTTTCCTTATTTAATTATTCTTTTATTTGTTTCTATTCTCAAAAACAGTCTTTATATTTCTTCTCTGATCCCAATGTTTCTTCCTAATTCTAGCGACTATTTTATATATTCTTATCTTGACACAATTTCCAAATTTGTTCTGTATATATTAAGATATTTTTTGCTTTATTAAAACAATTTATTTTATTTATTTTATTGATTATTTCTTCATATATAAATATTACATTTCTTTTATTTCCCTTACTATAAGTGCCTGTTTATTCTTACTTTCTTTACATCGTTGTCCATATATATATATATATATATATATATATATATATATATATATTTTCTCTGTTTATTACGTCAAATGTCGTCTTTAAATCAATAAGAAATACATAAATCTTTCCTCGTCTCTTGCTTATTTCTTTCTCTAGAGCGTGATTTAATATATAAAACGTTATCCATCGTACTTCATTTTTCGCTAAGAACAAGCGCAACATCCTCGCTTTCCAATGTTTTTTCTTTTAATAAAACGAGAAAGAATCAAACAATTTTCCAATCTATTAATCTCGAGCATATAATAATAATAATAATAATAATAAAAGACTGATTATATAAATCTTTGTAATTTTAATTATATAAACTCTTTATAAAAATTTATGAAGAGTCTGCAATTTTTTAATTAAAACTTGTATTATCCCCATGGAAAAAAACGCCCCTTTGTCTAAGACAAAGGGAGAAATTACACTCGGACAAAACGAGACCCCGAACAAACGCGAGAAGAATTTTCCGAATGCTGTAATATCCGATTCGGCAACATTGCGCACATCCGCGAGAGCCGCTATTGAATTTATTATTATGCATTTATGTAGATTAAAATTAATATTAGGAGCAAGGGAGAAGCGTCTGGCAACGATTCCGAACAGTGATTCCATGGAAATCCCGCGATTGAATTCGCGGTCATGATTAGTTTCTCAGTTTACTTTTCTCCGCACCTTATTCCCAGTTAAGTGTCTGTTATAAGTTTGCAACTTCTTTATCGTTACGTTTCCGATTGAATCAAGCGCGACTCGATTATTATTAAAAATAATGTTTTTTATTTCCTCCGAGCTCGCTCGCTCGCTCGTTCGTTCGAATTCTTCTCTTAAACATTTATTCAATTAATTCAAGAATCCCTATTTATGAATTCTGGAATGAAAATTCATTCATTTTTTTATTTTCATATTTCCGCGATATAAAATCAGCGACGCGATTCATTTGCGAGACACGTGTTATTTCGCAAAATTAATGCGCGCGTTACGCGTTAATCGAGAGATTCGCGTTTTATTATAAAAAAATTCTCAACTCCATCGCATTTATCGACAGAAAAAAATGGTAGATATAGTTTTAAACAAAACATGATTGATTTCTATTTCCAGATACGGCAACTCAAGTGACAAACTGACGTCATTAAACGTCAAAATGATGTTTCTGGGAAATTAAGTTACGTTGCTACCCCACCAACACATTAACGTTATATAAGCGTTTCAAAAACGTTCAAACTTCAATGTTCATAAAACATGTGAATGTCCATCTATAGTCAAACGTTATAATACTGTATCATTCATTATTGAGGTTTATTCGCAATAGAGTTTTAAAAGATTGCAAATTTAATTGGGCACATCAATATTCTTTGTGTACTAAAAATATAAACACTCACAATTCTTCGAGTGATACAAGTCTTTGGATTTTTACTATTCTCCTCGTTAAAGGAACAAACCATTTGCAGGTTAACAAACGATAAAACGTTTGTTAAACGTTTACATAACGTTAATGTGTTAGTGGGGTGATTTCTATTTCCAGATCTGGCAATCCAAGTGACAAACTGACGTCATCAAACGTTAAAATGACGTTTCTAGGAAATTAGGTTACGTTATTGTTACCCTACTAACACATTAACGTTTTATAAGCGTTTCAGGAACGTTCAAACTTCAATGTTCATAAAACATGTGAATGTCCATCTATAGTCAAACGTTATAATACTGTATCATTCATTATTGAGGTTTATTCGCAATAGAGTTTTAAAAGATTGCAAATTTAATTGGGCACATCAATATTCTTTGTGTACTAAAAAATATAAAGACTCATAATTCTTTGAGTGATACAGTCTTTGGATTTTTACTGTTTTCATCGTTAAAGGAACAGACCATTTGTGTGTGTGTGCAGGTTAACAAACGATAAAACGTTTGTTAAACGTTTACATAACGTTAAAGTATTAGTGGGGTGATTTCTATTTCCAGATCTGGCAATCCAAGTGACAAGCTGACATCATCAAACGTTAAAATAATGTTTCTGAGAAATTAAATTACGTTGCTACCGAAGCGACTTTTCTCCGCCAAAAGAGCGGCCATTGATACGGAATATTTGTATAATGATGTGTCCCATCCATTGCATCCATCGTATAAATTCCGATCCTTATGGAGCTGCGAATTCTTCCACGTGCAACACGTGCGAGATAGACGACGATATATTTTCCGGATATCGAGAATAGATATATTGAACCGTCGTGGCGCAATCGTACGTGCCGTCTTCGGTTGAACGTGTTTTCTTCGGGAACAACAGGTTTACAGAAGGGAAACGCATTCGAGACGGTAAAGTAAACGAGATCCCGCCGTTACACGATTTACATTACGCAAATATAGGGTTTAAACAGAATTTATGAAAAAAAAAACAATTATCAGACATATGATTAAATCGCTCAATTGTTGTCAATTGCATGGGAAGATATATCGTATTAGTTACCATATAATTAAATTTTAGATATCCCTATAGTATACTCGAAATTTAATTGCCATGTTTAAATTTTAACTCTCTATGGTAATTAATATTTAATTTTCACTATAATTTATTAACGGGAAATTCCCTATTAAACTATATAGCTTAAAAATATTAATTAAAATATTAATTGCATGACTATATAGCTTAAAAATATTAATTAAAATATTTAATTGTCATGTTTAAATTTTAATTTTCTATGGCAACTAATATTTTTAATTATAATTCGGGAATTCCCTGTTAAATTGTGCTTAAAAATATTAATTATTTAGGTAATTAAATTTTAGATGAGGAACAATTATACACATAATCGCTCAATTGTTGCCAATTGCATGGAAAAATATTAGTTAGTATAGCTAAATTTTAGGTATTCCTATATGCCATACTTGAAATTCGATCAATTGCCATGTTTAAATTTTAACTTTCTATGGTATCTTTAATTTAATTAACTCTATGGTAATTTTAAATAATACTTTTAACTATAATATTTTCAATAAGGAATTCCTATTAAATTGTGCTTAAAAACATTAATTGAATTTTAAATGTTATAGGGATATCTACAATTTATCTAACTAATATTATTTTTTGTTTGACAATTGACAACAATTGAATAATTGAATTATGCCTCACGTGCTGGAATATTGTTATTTTGCATCCATGTTTTTTGGGCATTCGATAATAAAATAATATAATAATCAAATTAATTGTTTCGGTAAAAACGCGCGGAAGCAGGGCAAAAATAATTCATCATATATCGATTTATACCTGGTGTGCGAAATCGACGTACAAAAATTGTTTCAAACCGTTTCGTGCAAATGTCGCTCGCTACGAGAATAACGCCAGAAAGATATATTGAAAGATCAATTTTATTGAGATTTGCCGCAAAATATGTGCAAGCGTTGTCCGTTTAGCGAAGCTCGGGGCCCGTCAGATAATAAAATCGTGGAAGGACGTTTGTGCGCAAAATGCAGAAATGACGTATATTGTATTTCTTCTCGGTCATCCTGTCACTTTTTTCCCTTCGCGTTCGATCGCGATGTTATTTCTGTCGCTCGTATATTTTCTGAAAATAAATAGAAGAGAAAATGGTTACTTGAAAAATTCTATCCGAGTGAGTAACTTATTTCCAAATTGTTTTAGATTTATGTACAGGCCGGATGAATAACCTTATCAATTATTCTGTTGTTAATGGATCAAAATTTTGTGTCACATAATTCGATTCAAAGAGACTCTAAAATGATTATATTTTTTTTTAAATTAAAGATAGAAATTGCAAAAAATAAAATTGATAAAAAAATGTACTATCATCTCAAGAATATTTTTCAGCCATATACGACAAAAAAATTTCGATCGTCTATTATTAACAGAATAATTTAAGATAATCACATTACGCGTTCACCCTGTTTATAGAAAAAAAATTGAAAATTATGTCTCACACATTTGACGAAGTTCTTCGCACTACTATTTTGCGAAACGTATATAATTTCGACTTTTTAAATTAACCTTTCTATCAATGAACGGATATCCAGGTATCCAAAGTAACTTTAAATATTAAAAATCGGAATTTTTTTTTATATAAAACACAAAGGATTTTGAATTCAGAAATCTCCTAAAATATATAATAAAAATTAGTAAATTAATTAACTGATTTCGATTAAAAATTTTAATAAAGCGTTAAATTGTTAATTAAATTTTTAAATAGTGATATATTTAAAAAAATAAAATAGTAATATGTTGTAAATAATATATTATAATTTATAATACCTTATTCTCGATTAATATTAATTTTTTGACAGAAATCAGCTGATAACTGTCAAAAGATATCGCAACGCATCGAAAACATCCAGTTTGCACTCAGATATCCATATATTGTTAAAAAATTGATTGACAGAAGGATTAAGAAAAATTTCTCGTGAGAGAAAAAATCACTTACTTCATCATCGCTTCATTTTTCTCGACACCATAAAATTGCCTCAAGTTCTCGTTAACATTGACATCCGATTTCGCGCGTTTTCGCGACTTCCGAAGACTCGTCCTGAATCTGTTCGATCCCCACATCCGATAAGCTCGTTTAGCAAAGGGTGCGTCCGTGGAAAACGCCGAAGCGTACCTCCAGAACTCATTCGTCGGCGACGATATCCTGGTGCGATATCCCTCGTAATCGTCGATCTCGTTTTCTCTCGGAGCCGCGCGCTCGCTATACTTGGCCTTATTCTTCAAGAACTCGAAAACCTGGCCGCGATTTGGTTGCCTGCGCGCGATGTCATTCAAAGATTGCTTCAAACAATTATCGAGTATTTTAAAGGTGAAATTTCTCGGGATGAGGGAAGTATTTTCCGGACGATTCGAGGTAAGATCGGTCGGCGATTGAGTGACATTTTCATATTTCAATCTGATCTCGAAAGGAACGACGCTGGAGCTCGAGCAGTTCTTTACGGTCGTGGTGTCGGTTCTCGTGGTGCTCGAATCATAAGGATCGACATTGTTATTAAAAGTCTCATTTATCCAACTGATATTCGAAGGTAGCAGTTTGCTGGTGTCATCCGCTGCCGATGATAGGGCTGTCTTCTTCGTTTCTTTCATCGGAGACTTGCTGAAATCATATTAACGTATTGGCGTCAATTATTTTCGCATTAACAGTTTTCTTGGCCGAATTAAGAGAGCTCGACCAAAATAATATGATTCATACACTTTTATAATACTTTAAACTCGATTAAACTCGATACTATCCCAGATTAATATTTTTTGACAGTTATCAGCTGATTTCTGTCAAAAAACTAATACTAATCGAGAATAAGGTATTATAACATTATTTACAAAACATATTACTATATTTTAATTTTTTCAACATATCACTATATTTAAAATTCAATTAACAAATTAACGCTTTATTAAAATTTTTAACAAAAATCAGCTGATTAAAGCGTTAATTTGCAAATTAAATTATTTTAAAATATAATATATGTATTTAAATAATATATTATAATACTTTAAACTCAAATACTTTATATTTTTGACAGTTATCAGCTGATTTCTGTTAAAATACTAATTGAGAATAAAGTATTATAACATATATTATTTATAACATATTACTATTTTAATTTTTTTCATATTACTTTAAAATATAATTAGCAAATTAACACTTTATTAATAGTTTTGACAGAAATCAGATTAAATGCAAATTAAATGTCATTTGCAAATTAAATTTTAAAATAATATGTTACAAAAATTAAAATAATTAAAAAAGTTACAATTAATAATAATTAAAAAATTAAAATAATTAACTTTTACAATTCGAGCCTTGACAGATATTAACACAGCTAAGAAAAATAAGAAAATGACAAAAAAAAATCTGCTAAAGTAAAACAAGACAGATGATAGAGGATATCTTGAAAAACTTGGTGGATCTAAGACCCCAGCGATCCGATAAATTCATCATCCAGAACTTCTCTCTCTCTCTCTTTCTCTCTCTTAGCTTAAATCCTAACTTAAATAGACGCGAAACGTGTATTGGACTAAGTTCGAGGGAGTTTGATTACAAGGGAACGTGTCTCCGACTGCACTTACCTTCGGCAAATAAGCTACTGCTGAATTGTTAAAGCTCATTTTCAAAGAATCACGCGATTCTCGCACTCACCAAGTTTTCACGAAACTTTCGTCACGCTCGGCAAATCAAATATTTAGAGAACGTATATGTCACTTTAACTATATTTCGCCGAAACACGCTATAATCGCTCGCGACAGGAGTCACTAATTATTTGGGCTAATTGTTGAAGACAAGTGTTACAATTGTATTGCAATATATAAAATATTGTATATATATATAGAGTGTAAATGAAAAAAAACATATGTACACCCATCAAATTCTCTGACCAATTTGAAGACGATTTTTTATCAACGAAAATGTCGAAGGAGATCATCATTTTTGCATATGTATTCCTCATTTTTGCCATCCTATATTTTTATAACTAAGTCTTAAATTAAAATTCTATTAAAGCAAACTGAAATTAACTGAAAAATGTTTTGTTAATATTTTAACGTTATAATTTTAGTTTGCGAGAACCCCTTCTTTTTTTCATCATATATAGTTTGAAAATTATTGGTGCCTCGACATTTCGACTGAGGAAAAATCATCTCCAAATTAATCAGAGAATTTGATAATGTGAGTCATATATTTTTGAGTTGCATTTTATATATATATTATAATATTGCTGTAAAATGAAGTATATAGCTGTCTTGAAAAAAAAGAGACACGAATTTTTATCAAATTTACCTATTTTTCTCTATTAAAAGATATATTCCTTTAACCTTTCTGTCAATATATAATTTTTTAATCAATGCATAAATATTCGGGTACCAACTTTTTTTTGACATATTGCACAATTTTTTTATAACTTTTTTATATCTTTATTAATTGAAAACGTCCACCGCGGCAAGAGAGGCACTATTGAAGCAAAACAAATATGGCCACCGTGAATATACAACATAACAATAAAAGTTTTAAGTGTAAAAATAAATTTTTTTAATAACAAAGATGTCATTACGGCTAGATATACACTCTGTGATTATACAAAAGTTACGCCTTCATCAAGGAATATGATCAAAGACCAGAATATTATAAATTCCGATATGATTATTAATGTGTGGTGTAACTGTGAAAAGTCAAGAAAGAATAGATTTATACTTTTTACATCTACAAATAAGTGCTTTGATATCAGAATCTCATGTGATGAATGGAACATTATTAATTAATTTTTCAAAATAATATTAACAAGATAATGTTAGGTTAGATGTATATTCGCGACGGCCATTTATGATAGTTCACGCGACCACCACTAGTGTCATTGAATTTTTTAAGCCCCGAATATCTTAATAAATTTTTTTTGTATCTTTTAGGAAGTTTCCGAATACAAAGGCTTTGTATTTTATTTTAGGTGGAGAAAATGTCCAACATACATTTTTAATACATTATTTCCCAGGTAGCAAACTGACGTCAAATTAAACGTCAAAATGACGTCATTTTATTTTCGCATTAACAGTTTTCTTGGCCGAATTAAGAAAGCTCGACCAAAATAATATGATTCATACACTTTTATAATACTTTAAACTCGATTAAACTTGATACTATCCCAGATTAATATTTTTTGACAGTTATCAGCTGATTTCTGTCAAAAAACGTCAAAATGACGTCATTTTGACGTTTAATATGACGTCAACTTGCTACCTGTGTTAAAGTTGGATATCTGATCATTATTGACAGGAGGGTTTAAGAAGACTTACTTTTGCATCGCATCAGAATCCGTTGCTTCGAAATGTTCCTCCATTTGATAATAAGCGATTATCAAGATACGCATCAGCCGGACGAGTTTACGTTTGATGATCGAGCCTTCGGGCTGAGCATCTCGAAGCAGCAGCATCCTGGACCAGTCGGACTTCAGGGTGCCAAAGGGCAAAGCGGAGGTCGGACACTTGAATCCAGCGGCCATTATTTTCACAGTAGACACATCCGTGAGATTTAATTTCGACAGATGATTCTCGATCTCGTCGACATCGAACCGAACCAAATCCGAGCAGCGATCGGAAAAGCTATCGACACATCCCGCTACAAAGGGAGGAAAAATTAATTCCGGATTCCAATTTGTTTCCTCTTGTGCACACAAACCGTTTTAAATCCTAATAACTATTTCCCAAAACTAGAAAGCTATAAAATCTCGAAAATATTCAACCCAGGTAGCAAGCTGAAATTATATTATTTTATTAATATTGTTTTTATTATTTTATTCTAATTATATTATTTACGATATTATTATCGTAATTTTAAAATTTTTCTGTTCTATAAATACATTATAAAAATATTTTTTCCCGAAAATATATCATATATCAGTGATTAAAGATTAATCGAATTAACAGCGAATTGAAGAATTTACTTCTGTCTTCCCAGGTAGCAAGCTGACGTCATTCAACGTCAAAATGACATCATCAACGTCAAAATGACGTCATTTTGACGTTTAATGACGTCAGCTTGATACCTGGGAAGACAGAAGTAAATTCTTTAATTCGCTGTTAATTCGATTAATTTTTAATCATTGATATATGATATATTTTCGGGAAAAAATATTTTTATATATTTATAGAACAGAAAAATTTCGAAATTACGATAATAATATCGTAAATAATATAATTAGAATAAAATAATAAAAACAATATTATTAACATAATATAATTAAAAACTGACGAGGAAAAAACAAAGGCGTATATAAAACGAAATATATACACATACGCACCGTTAATAAAAATAATCGTCGAGCAAAGAAAGAGAGGAATGCGCAGCAAAATGAACGATGGCACTTGTCGCGACATTTTTGCGGACTGATTCGCATATATGAGCGACGGATTCGTATATATTCCGTTTCGTTAAGATCGGCACATTTTTTAAACACACGTTAGCAAGATTGTTAGCGCGCTCGCGCGCTTGTGAAATAATTATATAAGACAATTCTTCGCTTCTTTCCTCTATGTAAAGCGAGAACGCTGATACACACTTGATCCAGAGTGCGAGATTGCATTAGATAACATCCGGAAATGCAAGTCTTCTCGACGCCTTTATTATGCGCAAATAAATAATTTAGTATATATTTACAAAATCGTTAAGTAATTATATAATCATTCAAATAAATTATTCGAATAATGTTCTCTCTTAAAATTAAATAAAAATGTCAATGATTGAAACGATGACTTATTTGATTGAAGATCAATGAATATTTTACTCACTGCAAGATTTGATTAAAAAATCAGCATAATCATATATATTTGTAGTTTTCAAAATTATTTCTAATTATTTTTAATTATATTTTTTTCGAGAGAAGCCTCACATAAACATATTTAAAAAGAAACACTTTAACTAATATTCAAAAATTTAAATTGTGACTTGTGATAAATTTAAAGAATAAACAACTTGTAACATATATATGTATAAAATCGTAATATATTTTATTATAATCGTTAAAATATCTAATCTCAAACATCCAAGAAATTATCGACGAATAAAACATTCCCTTTAACTTAATCAATGAAAATATCACTGATTGGAGCACTGTAATGAATATTTTGCTCATTGCAAGATTTCACTGAAAAATCAGCATAATTGTACATATTTGCAAGAAAGCTTTTAAGGCTCTTTTTATTCTTATTTTAAATTATTTTTCTTTCGCACATATCTGAAAAAGGAAACACGTATTTAAAAATTCAGGATAATATTTATATTATATTTTTTACTCTTAAAATATAATAAATTCAAAAAATGAACGAAACTGTTGATCCCAAAACATCCAGTTATTTTTAACAAAATAAATTGCTATAAATTTATTTCATATACAATATTATAATGAAAAGGCGCTTTTAAAATATCATTAAAGCCATTAATTCTTGCAACGAGATTTGCAGCGCTATATTTATATCTGAAACGCATTCAATGATAATAATTAATTCTATTTAAGAGAACGAAGAAGTGTCGAGGTAAAATTGTGAAAATAAAGTTCGCGAATATGAATGAGGAATGAAATTTGTATTAAGAATTTTCAATATTACAAAATAAAAAAAATTCTCTAAATCTTGTGTACGCTAAAATGAATAAAAAAAAAGTACATGGACAATTAAAGGAATAATAAAAAAAGAGACGCCATTACCGAGGTAGTTCCATACAGCGTATCTTTTGTCGATTTATTTTCTGCATCTCGTTGTAAATATCATCATTAATTATCACACACATAACACATACCCACACATTTCTCTTCTCTCTCACACAAACTATTTTAATCACGAAATTCCACGATGCGCCTCTCTCTCTATCGTGTCGCATCAATAACACTGATGCTGCTAGTATCTTCTCTTTTGATCTCGCCAGCGTTTTTATAGGTACACCAAATACTCCTTTCGCATTGTAATTCCGCGCACATATATAAAAATTATACATAGCGAGAATCTACACAAGTGACATAATTACAAAGTAACTACGTACATATTATAATTATCGTAGAAGCAGCATATCTTTCTCTCTCTTTCTTACACATAAGATTTACATCAACGGACTTGAGGCAGTAAAGCGAGAATTTATTCAAGACGCGAGCCTGGACGAAAAAAAAAAATTATATTGATTTTATAATACATTAATTAAAGAGAGACGGTTCGCGTTTGACCAAAATAATTTTTTACATCAAACAATCACCAATGATTTGTTCTCGCCGTATCTTCGTAAAAAAATCACATCTTTATACAATAAATATAAACATTTTTCCCTCGCGATGACGTAAGTCGAAATCAGAGAATAATCGTATTATCATAGAGAAACTGGTACAATCATCGTCGTTATACAAATGCTAAGAAACGATTGTTCGCAATTCTTATTATTCTCTGGATGCCAGAAAAAGAGAGAATCTATATCACATCCGCACATAAAGTATTATTTTTTTTCCACGAAGAGAAATTTTCACTACGTTTTTTTTCTCGAGTAAATTTTTTTACATAACGATAAATTACACGTAGCCTTAACCATCCTCTAATTACGAGAGATTTCGACGAATAGAGAATAGATATACAATATATATGTGTGTGTATATATAACAAATCTCTATCTTCTCGATCTGATTCACAAACAAGCTGGAAATTTGAAGATCTTTTGCAAAAGTCATTCGATGATTTGAAAGCATCGTCCCACTAATATTAGCATAATGATTATTAATTCTTTTGTATTACACGTGCAGGCAAAGTGGCACTTTCGGTGCGTGTTTTCTGTGCGGAAAGCGGCGATTCCCCCCCCGCCATCTAGCGGCGACGCGGTGAGTGAATAAGCCGCATTTAAAGCCATTATCTACGGCTCAGCCGCGTTAAAAGTAATGTATACGGCTGAAGCCGTAGGAAATGTATTGAACACGGCTATTCCCCCACCGTGCCGCGGCAAGATGGCGGCGTGCGATCGGCCGCCTCGCGCACAGAAAACGCGCAGAAAAAGCCACTTTGCCTGCACTTGTAATACAAAATAGTATGTGTATCACGTGCGGATTGACAACTGTCAACTTTCCGCACTTGATACACAATATACTATTGTTGCCATTTAATTTATCTCTTTCTCTTCCACATAAAATGTCATCCCTTCACTTTTTGTGTGTAAATACACACACACATATCGCACACACACACTCTCTCTCTCCATTTTCTTTCCCGTATTAAAACTATTTTATTTATCGCTACTATTTATTTATATAATATATTTGACAAATATACTCGCACACACGCGCTTAACTATTTGTATGTGTCTAGATTTTCTTTTTGTATCGTGTGTTTGCTTGTTCGCAACCCTGAGACTACGATTCTACCGCCACGGCGAATCGGTGTGATTATTAATTATATGTACAAAGAAAATGCTCGAAAAAGTATGAAAACCTCATAATTCAGGGGTGAAAAGGTCAAGTTGCATAAAAATACCTGACGTGATTTCTTCTCCGTTCTTTTTCATCCTCCTTCGATGCAAAAGTATTTGCTCCAACAATTACACATGTAATCAGCTTGAAAATTTGGAAGAGGGTTGATTACATAATTCACGTGAAATAGCAAGAGTCGATCGGGAATAATTTGTTTTCGAGAAAAAAATAGGATCGTAGTTTAATTTAGGTAATTCTTTCTTGAACAAAATGTTGACGTAGAGAGAATTTTTTCGCTCAAAGACGGAAGAAAGACAGAAAGAAAGACGTCCTCGTAAGAGTCTTAAACGGAAGATATAACGATCGCAAGGGGATGACGTCATCCTCTTCTCGTTAAAAGGACAAAATGAACTGCGTATTACCTCGGTCTCTTTATTGCACTCTATATCTTACGATGGAAGTACGAGGCCTACACGGTTTCTCACTATATCAAGATATCATGTACAATAAATCATCAATGAATTTCGATTTGACAGTTTAATCCCTTTTAATCCTAAGAAATTATATATAAATTATATATATATATATATATGTAGGTATATATATATATATATATAAATCAAAATATAAATAGAAAAGAAATGATGTATATATATAAATCAAAGAGAATGAAAAAATAAAGAGAAATTCGATTTCGAATGAGCGCCTTTTTTGTGGTTCTCCTCTTTTAGTTTTTAATTTCAACTAAAATAATTCTATTCTTTTTCGGCTGATAGAGAGTGATAAATGGAAGATTGAAATTGATTTAAACCGTGATAACCTCGCACAATATGGTCATCACAAATAAAAGCTCTCATAAAACTTACTCACACATATATATATGGCTCTCGTTCCTTTCTTAAAAATTCTCTACCGTGAAAGGCATATGTAATATTACGCTCGGGTGATGTTAACCCAAAGTTGATATTATGCAGACAAAATGCTTGCTAATTTTCGTATAACAATGTAATATAATTAGTAATATAATTAGAGGTAATATTTATATATAAAGATCCCTGAATATTATATATAATAAAATAATGATAACATAGTAATATTAATCGCATATTTTAATATAATAATAATGATCGCAATAATATGTATATATGTGTATATATATGTGTGTTGTATGTTTGTGATCGTAAAAATAATATTAATATAATTATATTAGAAATAATATATTTTCTTGCTCTTTCTCTCTTTTGTGTGGCACGGGCAGACAACTTTTTTCCTTAACAATTGGGTGAACATTTCTACCGCTTCTTACAAAATCGCGGTAATATGGCAATAATCTGACCAATATACATAATCCATCCTCAAGATTAAGATACATTTCTGATAAAAATTCCGAATTGCGTTATAAGCGGTATGATGTTATCCTGCGGACTTAGGGAGGGAACAATTCGGCCATTTTATCGTCATCTTGTCTTCTGCTCGCATTTCTCTTCACACTCGTTAATAATTATACAAAGATACATTCTAAGCTAATGTACAAAAATGTGTGTATTTCTACATCGCTATAACTATGGATGTTCAATACAATTATCACAAAAAACATCTTGATTAAGGTTACTCGATTCTTTTTCACATTTAAATTATATCATTATATAATTACAAACGTGCTAAACGCGTAAACGACACAATGTACATCGCTTTCTCCGCCGGGATACATTGAAAGAAAAAAAGTACAATAATCGAAAGAACAGTAAAATCAAGAGAAAATTCATCGTACGATAACAATAATTTTGATTGTTGATTCTTCTAAAGTATTCTCACTCTCGAAATATCAGCAAAATCAGTACAATACATTAAACACCCACAGTTACCTACAACTTATCCGATGTTTCTACAATTCGGTGTTGCGATCATGACAATCAAAACAGAAACTTTGACATTTTTCACGATAAAACTACTGGTTTTCGCACACGTCTATTCTAAGATGAGTACTTTGAAAAAAGTCTTCTCGCATCTCTTGTACTGCATATTTCTATACATAAAAGTTACATCTTTCTTTCGTTCTATCTTTCTTTTTGTACCTGTAAATGGGGTACTCGAAAAGGAAAGTTTGGATACTTCAAACAAAGACGTCTGCGTGGGACGATTCGCGAGTCGCGATGATCGCCGGAGACAGATTGGCCGAACCTCCTCACTTTCAAACATCCTTTACGTACGCGAAAGAAAAGGCTAAAGATTCGTGAGTCCGTTAGAAAATAAAAGGTATCGTAGAAAGACCGATAAAACTTCCTTTCTTTTTTCCTTTCACGCACTATCACTCATTATCGACACCAAAAACGCTCTCGTATTTCGATAACGATGTACAATGATGACGACGACGATGATGATGATGGATGATAATAATGATAATAATAATAATATTAATAATAATAATAATAATAATAATAATAAAATAATAATAATAATAATAATAATAATAATAATAATAATAATAATAATAATAATAATAATAATCACGTTAATGATGAAGAGACATCTCCCCAACTTTCGGTAGACAACGCGTGACCAGGTGCCGAATAATCGAGTCATTATTTCATCGGTTACAAACGTTCTCGAGCATCTCTTCGAACAGCTTGTTCATCGATACCTTGTTCAATCTGTACGCGGTGGACCAAAATCGTCTGACAATCCCGTCGGCCTGTCTAAGACTGGGCAACACTAGGAACATGTTCTGGGTGGCGCGGAGAGCCTGGCCCGGCCTCACCGCGGCCACACAATCCGACAGAGAATTCAAGATGGAATCACGGAAACGGTAAAGCGCTTGCGGCTCCTCGCATCTGGCATCGCTGTTCGCTAGGATCAGTGCCTTCAGAACGTAGTACTCCTCCCGCGAGATATTTAATCGCTGCATTCTATCGACGATTTGAATACACTGTTTCAAAGAAAGAGAGATCGATTCGATTAAAAGACAAATCATTAATCTATTCTATTTTAGCATACAGGGTGCCCCATAAGAAATCAGCTGTCGTTTTTAATGCATGCAGTTATTGAGAAAACAAAAATTGCGTTGAAAAGAGGAAAGTCTACAGTTTTTAATGGATATAAATAAAATGTTTGTAATACTTTTAATATATATATTTTATATATTTGATAATATTTTAAATATTTTATTAAAAAAAGGTAATGAAAAAAATGCTAATAATCACATATGTAAACTAATGATAAATATTTTCCAAGTGCTGCCTGCATTAAAAAATGACAGCTATGTATAATTCTATGAGATATATTTTTTTAAGTTATCTTAAAGTGCTCCGCACTAATCTTATGTGAAAGGAACTTCGATTAAATCAGCTGGTTTTATAATATAAGCTGTAGCTTATAATCTGCTAAACAAAAGATGCAATAGCCTCAAAGCTAAATAATGAACAATTATTGAGTTACAACCAGTGAAACAGCTCACAATGCCTGAGTTTTTCATGTTTAACTGATTGTAAATCAGTAATTGTCTATTATTTAGCTTTTACAGTCAGTCAAACACGAAAACCTCAGATTCTGCGAGTTGTTTGACTGGCTATAGCTCAGTAACTGTTCATTATTTAGCTTTGAGGCTATTACATCTTTTATTTAACAAGTCATAAGCATTTTTTTCATTACTTTTTTTCAATAAAATAATAACTTCTATTTCTTCAGTAGCGTATTAAATCATTTTAAATACAACGAGTGCATTTATTTCTATAACTGAAGAATTAATAGACATGAGATGCGATAGGGCAATAAAATTGTGTCAAAAATAACGTACGTGTGTGTAGAGCTCCATACAGTGGCATTCGCGCGCGAGTCTTTCATCTAACGTAAAATCTTGCGCAAACCTCAATCTGCCATTACTCGACAGGCTTCGCCACGCCAGAGTGAAAGTTAATATCTCGGCCCAAGTACTCTGCAGAAGCCGCATTTGATCATTTAACGCTAAACTGCTGAATCCTGGGATTTGTTTGGCCCAACCTGGCGAAAGGAAGAAACATTGAGCATCCGTTGAATATCGAATATTGAAATTCGAAGGAACAGGTAAAGACTAGTGCATAAATACGCGGCCAATGCTCACCGATTATGCCAACCAATTCTCGATCATAAAGATCCGACAATTGTCCCAGAATCTTCTGCTCTGTCTCCTGCGTGTTGTGTATGCTGCATACTTGAAGCATGTCCGGTTCGCAGGCCGCTAAGGCTTCGACCAACTTGTTATCTGCAAAAGACGAGACACGACGTGTCTCTTTATTTAAACTGCCCTAAGGCAAGGCGTTAAATTAATTAATCAATATTAATCATTAACGTTGCGAAAACTGAATTTCATAAATTTTCGACAAATCAGAAGCGAATAAAAATGATAAAAAATTGAAATAAATTGGAGACTGAAAAAAGGACTAAAATTGCGAGAAAAAAAGACACGACTTGACGGTACATTAGCTTACTTATCGTTTCGGTAGGACCTCCCGACGCAACGTTAGCTTGAAACATTGAATAATTCAGTTGTTAGCATCTTCCAAAGAGAAATAATCTCTCTCTACGCTTTCTAATATTTATATTTAAAAATCGCTGCGAAATACACGCGACAAATTGTACAAGTATGAGGCAAAGTACCCTCTAGCGTGGCACTCTTGACCGGCGTGTAAGGATCCGCGGATCTTCTGTACTTTTGCCGGCCGCCTCTGACGCGATCCAATCGTACGCCCTCCTTCAGCATTCCTTGCCGCAAACATTTCTGAAATCTGCACGCCTGACATGCCTTCCGTCTTCGTTTGTTTATCTCGCACTCGCCGTTCGCCGGACAAGTGTATTCGATGTTTCCTGTAAAATTACTGGCTATTTTATCGTAATATACGCGGTCCTGCCCCAGATAGCACCAATCAAGTGTCCGAAATGTCATCGCCGCGCTATATACGTCCAAAATATATGCCGCCTATTATATATGCATATATATGTATGTATATACATACATTCAAATTGCATTACGATCGAAAGTGCACCCAAGTAAAAGTCCTTGGTGCTATCTGGACGAATGATTGCGGCCTCTGTTACGGAAATCGATACGGAGTCCGCTTACCTTGTATAGTTCTCTTGAAGAAAGCCTTGCACGCCTCGCACGAGGCGACCCCGTAGTGAAAACCGCTCGCGACGTCGCCGCAAACCAGGCAGAGTCTCCTGGGTATCATATCCTCCTCCTTAACGCCGTCCTATAAAAACGACACAGCGGTTTATCATATATGTAAATCATCCTTGATCGTAAACTCGCGGTTATCGCTCAAATGCACTTTCGCGATTTACGCACATCTGGAGTGCCAAGTGGCTGCGTTGTCGAGGAACAATGATGCATCTCCGGACTCTCCGGGCTGCCGCTGTTGCCACCATAATCCGGCTGGATGTCCAGTTTTGTGCATATTGACTGAAAAAATATATATTAATAAATATATTAATATAATAATTAATTAATTTAAATATATTAATATATAATAAAAAAATATATTTAATATATATATTTATATAAATATATTAAAAATATATTTGTATTTTAATTATATATTTATATTTTATAATATATACTAAATATTAAATATATTAAAAATTATATAAAAAATATGTATTATATTATATATAGGATGTCCCGAAATTCGCTAATCACATGTCAGATTTCTGGAATCATTTGGAGACAATCTTTCCCCTCGACGAAAATATCGAAGGTCAACATTTTGCCATCATGTATCTTTGTAACTAATTGTAAGCCTTAAATTAAAATTTTATTAAAGTAAACTCTATTTAAAATTAATTAAAAAAATTTGATTCTGAGTTAATATTGTTTTATTTCCACAAGGTTTAGTTTGCAAAAAAACCCTTTATTTACAATCGTTTACAACTCAAAATAATTGATGCCTCGACATTTTTGCTGAGAATAAATCGTCTCCAGATAACTTGAGGAATCTTCTAAACAGGTGATTCGCGAATTTCAGGGGATATATATATATATATATATATATATATATATATATTTTATATATATAATATATTGTAAATATACATATATGTAATTATAAATAAAGAAAATTTATGGAATACATTTTATAAAAAGATGTATGTATATTTATAATATAAAAAATATAGTAAAAAAATATATATATAGCTATATAATTATATACATAATTATTTACATATATTTAATTATATAGAAAAATAATGCTAAATAGTAGCTAAAAAAATTTGAAGTTTTGAAGAAGCTTCCACAAAAATATTTTCGGATCCTTCCTCTCGCAGGAAGAAATCGGTACTAATCTTTAATTTACGTAAGCTAAATAAATTCTAATTAACATTACGACGATAAGAACAGAACACCCTGTCCATCTGGCACCGAGAACCGATTGATGAAATATTAAAGAGGTGAAGGGGGGAGAGTTCTCTTAACAATTTCAATACCTCCTGTTGTTGAAGAGTCGTGGTTGGCGAGCATACTTGATAATTTTGCGTGGGCGTCGTTGGGTTATCGATTTCCTGCTTGATGTTGGGCATCGTCCTGTTATTCCCGATCATGCTTTCCGTGGTAGCGTCAGACATCATACAGACCTGCCAAAAGAAACACAAATGATAATCATCGAGAGATAACGTATCATTATATATCTTTACGATCATTTATTAATATCTGCTATCGCGATTGTAAGAACAAAAAAAAAGACGCGCAGCGGGATTCTTTTTTAAATACGAGAGGCCTCGCGATTGCACCTTTTTTTCGCGCCTGCTATATTTAAGTCACAGCCAACGCCTTGAGCATCATTTTTAGAATTGACTTCACGAGGGAATTCGCAGTGTAACATCAATCCTGGACTCTCCCGCGCGCGAAGATCGGAGAAATATTTTCCTCGATCGCGGACAAAGCGCGAATCTTCCGAAATTCTCGCGCGCAAAAGCCGGAGAATCCGGAGAATTCGTGGGAAAATGTAAGAGGAACCCCGTCTCTCTCCAAAGAAGCTCTCTTTCTCGAATATACAGTATTCTCTTAAGTATAATACAATCCTATGCGCAGGATTTGACGATTACTTCAACCGGTTGTTGAAGATATCGGTGATCAACTTTCGCGCGAAAATACAAATTGATTTCCGCCTTTGTTTACTTCATCGAAGATATACTCTGACGAATTTCTTACACAGTAGGAAAATTGGTGTTTTCTTGCTGAAAACGGTCCCCGTTAAAGTTTTGTGTTAAATATTTCACACGTTCATGTGTTAATATAAACTTGTTAAATTATTAAAACAACTGAAAAAGATTTTACATAATAAGTATATTTTGTTTTATATTGGTGATAAGATTTATCTGTTAAAATTTACAGGAAAAATGATTTTTTTATTTTATAAGTGAAGATAAAATCTAAAATCAATATATTTTTAGTTAATTTTTACATTAAAATTATGTTAATTTTACACAAAATTTATTTCTAATTACCGGAAATTGTGCATTTATTTTGTGTTAAAATATTAACACAGTATTTAAGTCCTCATTTAACACATCCATATTGTTAAATTTAACACAAACTTTTCAACTATGTATAATAGGTCTTTTAATTTTAAGAGATGGAATATAATAAACATATTCTTCTAATCACAAGTGAAAATAAAAAATAATAATGTGATAAAATAAGATCAAATATTTTAATATAGTTAAATATATAATATATTAAAAATATTCTATATAGTAAAAAAATTGCAAGATTTAAAAAAATATCAATATAATCAAATATTATAAAATTATCAATAGTGATGCATTTAAGAATAATGTAATATAATACTAATTAAAAATAAAATTATTAATAATAAATTTTTATCTTATCTTTGAAAAATATTTTATAGTGTAAATTGAAAATAGATTTCAGTGTGCAAAAGACTAATGTGTAAAAACTGATGTGCGAGAAAAATTATACTAATAATATATTTATCAAAGATAGAGAGATACGACAGAGAAATTTTTACGAGATAAATTTTTGTACAAACTTATTGAATTAAAAATCCATCAAATTACAATATGCGACACATGTATATATATGATGTAACAATTAAAATGTAAGAGCAAGGCCACTTGGCAACGCTGGAAGAAATATACGAATAGATTAGCTGCGCCCTAAATTAGGGCGTCGTCGGCGAACAAAGTAACGGTGAAAGGATTGCGTAAGTTCCCCCTTCTTCCCACTTAAAACCGCACTCTTCGGCATCGTGTGTCGTGTGCCAGCGGGAAGGCGAGACTCGGAATAGAAGGGAAGAAACGGGAGAGGAGCATCTAGTCGACCTTGAACTTGATTATATTTTTTTTCTCTTCATCAGATGGCTAAGTCGCGCCTTTGCATTCGAGAGGCTCGATCGTATCGCAAGCTGATCGAATCGGGTGAGATCAGACGTCGCCGCTTGTGAGTCAGAGGCATCCTTTCGAAACTCGATCGGAATTTCAACCAGACAAGAAGCGCGAGAAATCAATCAACTTCTGATTAGTAGTCCCAACACGATTCAATTACATTGGTAATTGTCGCAAATGGAAAGTGGACTTTGAAGATAAAGATGAGAGACAGAAACGACTCTCTCTTTCAGGTCTATCGAGAATAAGATCGGAATGATGCGAATTGTTTGCCACCGTTTTAGTTCTCAAAAAAGTTTCACAAAGCTCGTTTCCTTGATATCAACTTCAGGATAGACCTAGCCTTCTACTTTGCTGGATCTATCTAAGGATAATCCTAATGTGGCTTATCCGAATGAGCAGGATAGACGGTAAAAAATCATACTAAAGTTGGTTTTCAATCATACCAACCGAAAAAAATTTGTGACATATCTGAATTTATCTGAATTCACAAACGCAAGATTATTTCTAATGGAATCATTGACTGAATGAGGTAAAGCTAGAGCATATTGGATTTGTTCTTTATTGCTGCACTGGTGAACCAGTGCAATAAGTTAAAGTGAGACAAATATATTTTGTTTCATTCCAACTTACTGTACCAGAGTGCACTAGTTCATCAGTGCAACAATAAAAAACAAACCCATTAAAATTATGCAATGGGCGAAAGCAGTCAGATGAGTCACAAGTAAGATCATCCTTAAACTACGGCAAACTCACTGGGGCAACTTTTTATTGATGTTTTATGTTTCTTAAAAAAAGTTGCTAGTTGTTGTCGAAAGTTTTTCAAAGTTCCTTACTGTTTCTAATGTCTCCAACACGCGTCAATAAATCGCGAAGGATAATAAGTGTTCCTTCGGTGTAGACCTTTAATTTTCAGTGACACAATCGCGGTTAAAACGGGAATGGAACAAAATCCAAATATTCCTGTAATTATGTTGCTTTAGTACAAATTTGTTGTCGCAAGCTGACATATGTCGAATTTTAAACCGTTTAGCAACAATAAGGAACAAAGAGTTTGTTCATTGTTGCTGCACTGGTGAACTAGTAACCTAACCTAATCTAAAGTTCACCAGTGCAGTAATAAAGAACAAATCCAAAAGTTGCTGGTTGTTGCTCTAGTGAAAACCTAGCTTTAGGTGTAAATAGGGCATAAAGGGCAACCTAATTTTAAGTGACACAATCGCGGTTAAAACGGGAATAAAAACAAAACCCAAATGTTCCTGTAATTATGTTGCTTCAGACAAAAATGTTGTCGCAAGTTGACATATGTCGAATTATTTTGAAACATTTAGAACAATAAGGAACAAAGGATTTGTTCTTTATCGCTGCACTGGTGAACTAGTGACAGTAAGTTAGAGTGAAACAAAGCATACTTGTCTCACTTTAATTAATTGCACTAGTTCACCAGTGCAGCAATAAAGAACAAACCCAAAAAGTTGCTGATTGTTGCTCCAGTGAAGATCTAGCTTTAGGTGTAGATAGGGCATAAAGAGCAACCTAATAGACTCAGAGTACAACCGGTCCTAGGTTGGTTACAATATTCTAGCGGGACAGGTTGCGCATGTATATACAGAAGAAGAGAAGGGTTGCATAAGTATCCTCCCCCCTTCCTCCTTCTCTCTCTTCCGCCCTGATTCGATCCATGTTCTGATTGAGAGCTTGAAAGACGGGACACCGAAGAAAGACCAAATGAGAAACAGAGCGAAAGAGAGAGAGTGAGAGAGACGCTTCGGAACAACTCGCCGGCCTTGAACTTGACTTTTTCTGCGGGAGAGCGAGAAGCTGCCGCGTTCGCGAAGGCCGCGGAGCCACGCCATCGCAATTTTAGATGCCGAGCACCAGCGGAAACGGCCGACAACGCGGGGCGGCCTTGGGGCCTCTCAATCTCGTTTTATCTCGCTTTATCTCCTCCTCTTCTCTCTGTCCTACCTTCCTGCTGCCTATACACGTCCGCGAAACTACTCGTTATTCCTCTGCGCGCCGAAACGACACACATTATGCTGCTATCATCGACACCTTCTTCACCCAAAATTAGTGCTTGGAAAAATTGGCCGATGTCACCTCGAAGGATTTTCCTGGTTACTTCCTCTAGATGGAATTTTAGAATCTCGTTTGTCAAATCATCCGAAGACGCGAAATCATCCCAAGTATCAGTTTCATCCCAATGATACTTCCTCGAGAGGAATCGAAAATCATCGGAAAATATTATGATATTCATTGATTTAAATAATTAACAAATTTTTTTTATATATTTTCTTCTATTTTATTATAATTAATTTCAATTATAATAAAATTATATATATATATATCATCGGAAATATTATGATATTCATTGATTTAAATAATTAACAAATTTTTTTTTATATATTTTCTTCTATTTTATTATAATTAATTTCAATTATATAAAATTATATATATATATATATATATATATATATATTTTTTTTTCTCTTTTGTACAATCAAAACAAGAGATTAAAATATACACTATATATTTCATATCTTCTATATCAGATTCCTATATTTTTTTTCCTTTTAATCGGTAAACTCGCAGAAAAATATTGATGATTCAGATCGATTTCAATTATAATAAAAAAACTCGCCCTCTTTTACAATTTTCTCTTACTATCATATTAATTTCAATTGTAATAAAAATATTAAAAAATATAAATAATTAATATAATAAATATAATACATAATAAAATTATAAAAAATATTTATAATAAAAGTGGTAGTAATTTAATCAACCAACTCTGGCTATTTAATATATCTTTATTTAATATTCACGACGTTTCGGCCATGGGTTTTGGCCCTTATCAAGTGCTACAAATTATAGGATACATATTAATGTGTGGAAATAATTATTGTTACTCAGTTACTTTTTAATTAATTTTTTAATTTAATTTTCTAATAATTGTCATTATTATAATTGTAGCATTGATAAGGGCCAAAACCCATGGCCGAAACGTCGTGAATATTAAATAAATATATTAAATAGCCAGAGTTGGTTGATTAAATTACTACCATTTTTAATTATCATCTGGTGACTTCAGAGATTTTTACATCATTTTATCATATTATATATATATATATATATATATGTATATATATATTAATTCTTTCTTTTTTATACAATAAAATAAGATTAATATTTTCATATTTCGTAATATCAGATTCCTATTTCTTTTT